TGTCCGACATGTGCGTGGTTTTACCCCAACAGTCTCTGAACTAGTCTCCAGCGGATGCGTGCTTCAGTATACAAACGTTCTTTCCCAAGCCACTAGTCCGACCGTGGTGGACCTCGTCGCTTCCGACTGTCGGAAAATCTGTTAGGATGGTGGTGATTTGACACTTACTTTCCATGTCCAGTCGAAGACGGCAGGGCTAGCGCCAACTGACCCACTATCAAAGGACTGCGAATTCGTGCCCGAGAGGCCGCCACTTGTAGCAGCATTGGCAGAGGCAGCAGGTGAGGTAGAGGCATGCGGATTGCAGAAACAGAGGATTCTGAAGGACCAGTTGCCCAGACTGACTTGGGCGCAATGAGGAAAAGTGAGTATCAGCGGTTTCAGAAGGGGCAGTCCAGGCGGACCGAACTGAATCACTGGACTTAGAAGGGTCTGATTGTCTGTAAGAAATAAATGAGCAGATGGTCAACTGAATTTTCATCTGTGATTGCTGTAGTGAATTAAAAGCATAAAATGATTTTGTAATTGTGGTTTATTCAGTCAGGAGACTATGTAAGGCCATACTGACCGGGTTTGGGTAACAGTAGTGCTCAGATGCACTGATTGGTTAGTCAGGTGGCGTGTCCACATATCATAACGTTAAGGATACGTCTATGGAGGATCGTTAAAACGATGATTACCAGAGTGAAATACCCAGTTATAGCGGAAGAAACGATGGCAAGTCAACTGCTATCTTCCTTTTTAAAAGACTCAATAACGCTAACAACTATGACCTCCTATACATGAAAAGGGAATAAGAACGCCCCTACCCTAGTAATAAAGGTGGCCCTGTGCATAACTCCAAAGAGGGTAAATATTCCCGTGTCCTAACCCCAGCAGAAGCCCTAATATAAACCTAAACCGTGACTGTAAGCTGACCCCAAACCTACGATAACGCTTAACTTACCTTAACACTGAATGTAAGTATAAAGATAAAGCTAACTCTTGTCTTAACAGAAACAATAACCAGAAATTTAACTATATTTTCCCCGGAATTTTGGCGCGCAAAAACACCTGTACTGCTGGCGGCCGCTGTTCTCATGCCCTTTACGGGTCATCCTTACCCAAGACATAGTTTGGGACTTATCATATTTTTGGGAGCTGTTAGAGAAAGAGAGGGGGGAGCAGTAATCCCTCAAATATCAAATTTAAAAAGGTTGGCCGTTCCCAGTGAACGCGCCACATGGGAATAGCCCTTTCCGTAGTTTTCACAAATAACCTATGTAAACGACGGGGCGGTTGCTCAAGCAGGCGATCGCTTAGACGCCTGATCAGTTGATTACGGGACTAGATTAGGAGAGAGTAAATGGGGTGGCCGATTTTTCAAGTGTCCACCCTCTGATGGTGAATTCGAGCCTGGGTTCAAAACGTCAGGCAAATTCATTCAGATGACCAGTGACCAGCCAATCTTTGACTTCTACATTACGGAAATTATTTTACATCAGTCAATCATTCTCCCTAGTCGCGGACAAAACTACGTAGTGATCCCTTCAAGTTAGATACAGATAAGACTTTACGCGGACCTCACAACGAAAAAGATCAACTCAAACTTTGATGACCAGTTCTGGTTGATCAGCCATCATCCGCTAGACTTATCCCGTTTTACAACCAGGAAGATCTGATGTTTATACCTGGATCTAGGTGACTGGTAATCGCGCAATTCCCTTCGCGGTAACCCCTGAAGATTACTTTTATAACTCTCATAATCCTCGGAAAACAATTTTTCAAACTTTTTGAAGATGATAGAGCGTCGCGTCTTCTGAAAATTAGA